CCACCACGGGCTCGGGAACCTCCAAACTGACCACAGACTTGCAGCGTCGTATTTCTCCCAGCAATTTCCCCTCATTTATTCTGCCGTGCGACAATCGGCGATTGATGGCGTGGTGCCATAAAAATCAAGAGTCGGTTAATAAATCGGCGCTTCATTTTTTGACCTAGCGCCAGGAATGAAGAGGCCAGCGATCGCATGTTTTGCGCGACGTGCGGTAGCGAAGCTATTTCGCTCGGTTATGTGCCAATCAATCGACGACGTAACGCCTAGCTCATTACAGTCGCGTAAACCGCGATGGCGCCAACCAGACGGTATCAAACTATGAAAATTGAAGGCGCTCTAAATGTGGGTCATTCATCGCTTTGTCTTTTATGGTGTATTGTTTCCAGACAATTGTAAGCGGACAAGGTTGGCGGATTGCGGCGGAACGGGAAATTAACATGGTTCACTTTCCGGCGGGACGGATTGGAGAGATCCGGAATTTTTCGGAAATGCGGTTTTTTTGACACGCTGGAAGTGGTTGTCGTATGTTTATTAGTTTGGTGGAAATGTTTATTGTGATGAGTTTTTGCCAGGGGTTCTGGTTTTAATTTTCAGACTGAAATTTAATAAAACTTTAACGTTGAGCTACAAGAATGAAAACGCTCTTAAGACGAAGTTATCGTGTGCCGTCTTTTCCAGAAAATTAACCACCGAGCTACAGGTGAAGTTATTTCAAGTACTCGAAAGTTTCTCAGTTTCGACAACTTGAACACACGTTTTCAGGCGGTACCAAACTTGATGTCGATAAAGGTTGTAATTTAGTGTTTTACTTTTAATACCACGAAAAGTAAGAACAGGCAGCAACGCGTTCAATTATTGGTTGCATAACTCGAATAATTTTTACTTCCCGAGCGTAAGCAAAGGAAGTATTGTAATCGAGTCCGTCGGCCGACTCTCTACTTTTACGTTTTCTCGATCTTTCATGACCCCTAGAAGACGAAGAAATAGGTCTCCGTCTGTCTGTCCGTCTGTCCGTCTGTCCGTCCGTCTGTCCGTCTGTTGTCCCGGATTTTTATTAGACAGATAATCTCCGAAAGTACTCGACCGATTGTTGTGAAATTTTGTACTTATATTAAGAATATCATGTAGATGGTAAAACGCTAACCAAAATTTGTCTAATCATCCCCACCACTAATGCGATGACGTCACTTCAAAATTGTACATAGTAAATAGGTCTTAAATTGTATAAAATAACATAGTCCTACACATGTAGTTTACGACTCCGAATTCAGTTTTTACCCGAAACGTCCAGATTTTTGGAAAAAAAATCAAAATTATAAAACAACATTTTGCAATTTAATTTTGAATCTGCTAACCCGAATGTTTTGAAATGTTGCAGATGTTTTAAGGCTCTAAAGAGCATCATAAATCTTTAGTCAAAATATATTTGGTTATCCCCTCCAAAAACTTGATGACGTCAGCTCAAAAGTTTGCCAAATAAATCCTATCTAAAATGTACAAAATATGATGCGTCTGTGCTTGTGATATATCACTCCATTCATATTTTTTGGATTTGCATATACAGGGTGACTCAAAAAAATTAATGAATGCGTAAATATATTTTATTGATTTAATCAGGAACTACAAAACGGAATGCTCTGACATCTTGCAGATGTTTTAAGGTTATAAAGAGCATAATAAATGTTTAGTCAAAATATATTTGCTTATCCCCTCCAAAAACTTGATGACGTCAGCTCGAAAATTTGCCGAATAAATCATATCTAAAATGTACAAAATATGATGAGTTTGTACTTGTGATTTATCATTCCATTCATATTTTTGGATTTGCATATGCAGGGTGACTCAAAAAAATTAATGAAGGCGTGAATTTATTTTATCGATTTAATCAGGAATTACAAAACCGAATGCTTTGAAATCTTGGGAATATTTTAAAGTTATTATAAGCATGGTAAACTTTTGTTCAAAATGTATTTGTTCATCCCTCCTAAAAAAATTGATGACGTCACCCTTAAATTTTGCTGAATAAATCCTATCTAAAATGCAAAAAATATGATGAGTTTGTACTTGTGATTTATCATTCCATTCATATTTTTTAGATTTTCTTAAGAGGTGGTTCAAAAAAATTAATGAAGTCAATTTATTTTATTGATTAAATTAAAGGCAACACTTATTATTAGTATTACACCCCAACCAACCCAATTTGGTAGACACAAAATTTGTTAAAGGAAAAACTCGGTTGAAACATAAGGGTAGCATCGCTTATTTACATCGACTTGAACATTACAGACCTGCATTTGTTTTATGCGATTACTTGGTTCCGCGAATGTGAAATAGACATGTTTATAATCAACCAATTGTGAATTTCACCGTCAAGAATTAAAATAAAACCCAATGTTTTGTATAATAAGCGGAAGTCGAAGCAATAAAACCGATGGTCGTGTTGTTTACAGTTTCTCTGTTCGACTCTCACGTATGCTGTTACGCTTGTCATCCTCAATTAAGAATGTTTATACATAAACGATTTTCAGTTGCCGTATACGCGAGTAAATTGTTTCGTTATTTTATTGATTATAAAAAATCAATATTCAAAACGACCCAATTCATTTTCGCGAAAATTTGGGAATACAATAATTTTATTCTTAGTATTACACTACATCTATCCCAACTGATATACGTGTCCTTGCAAAAATGTTGATGACGTCATCGCAATTTTTTTTAAATTCCCACTACAAAAATGTAATGAGAAAAAAACACAATAGCCATGCAGTCGTCAAGTTTCCGACAGCGAGGGAAGTACTGTCTAAACTCTTTAGACCAATTTTTTCTGTTATTATAAGTCTTTGCCATTTCTATTGAAACACCACTTGTTGATCGTAAATTTGGCAACGTTCATATTCAGACAATTTTCTAACTAAAAGCCGTTGTCAATCAACCGAAAACTGTTAGCGATTGGTAAATTTTAGGCAAAATCAACAGGTGGTGTTTCAATAGAAATGGCAAAGATTATAGTGACCGAAAAAAAAAAATCAAATGTTTTTATGCACACAACCTCTGCAGTCAATAAATAGATGAGCAATTCCCGTAGTAATTTCTGCAAAAACATAATAAAATTAAAATATATGAGGCGAATTCTAAAGAATTTGAGTAATTCCACGTAGGCACCAGTGCGCTCAACATTTCCGAGAATTTCTAAATTTCCATTTAATAAACAGATACCGAAAGTAATTCCAGCGGTGTGCACCCGCGTCCCATTGATTTTTCGTCCAACTTGCAACATGTCTCTAATCATTTCTAAATGCAAAATCAATATCGAATGATGTCGAGTTATTATTAACTTCACTCGGTGACGAGTTGCACATGCAAAACTCCCAATCTTCGAGTCTGGAGTCACGTTATAAAAATCCAAAGTTGCCGAGTTTCCGTTGCGAAACTGTACTTAAATTGTCAAGTCTTTGTGATAAAGAGCAGTTATCTTTGATGCGTTGGTAGTCGTATTGTTTCACTCGTAAAACACCGAGTCTTCGGAGATGTAGGAATAATCTAAAAAGCCATCGACCTCTGTCTACATGCCGGCAGTTTTCGTAATTCTTTACTACTCGGTTCAACTAAATGCATTTAACTGTTTACTTTACCTATCTTGTAATAAATTGATAATTATGAACCGTATATTCCAGTTTTTAAATCCTGCCGTGTCCGGCAATTATATCAAAATGTATACTTCACCGCGCACCATAAACGGCGGCTACTAATTATATATTTAAAAAAAATCGACTAACAGCATGCATTCCTCGGGTCATTTTTAACCCCCGGCGTAATGAGCTTTATGGGAAGACGCAGGTGTAATGAGACGTTGCGATGTTACCGACAGCAACTTCATTTGCAGATGCCATGCCATCTAAGGACATTTGTATTAGAGAAAATCGCGAAAAATCGCCGCCGTGGGAACTTCGAATTAATCGAATTCCTCACAGGATCGACGAACATTCGCTGAAGCTTCGACGTCCATCCGGCCGCTCCCCACTGTAAATTTTTAAAATTTCGTTAGTGTGATTACGGTTTAGTGAGAAAATAGCTCAAGGTCAAATTGTTATTGCAAGATTTGACGTTTCCGACTCGTAAACCCTCGGTACATCATATTTCTTTTGACAGTACTTGGACGACAAATCGATTCTTGAATTTCTGTCGATCGAATCGACCAACTCTTCAGACTCCTCGATGGCGTTCATTTGCAACTACAAAAGATGGAACAAAAGCAGCGAGTTCGTTGTTCAAAGATCGCGGCGGGTGGGTGGGGGGACAGGTGTTTTTGATCGATCAACATGCACCTCGCGGCGCCGGCAGATGGACGCTTGGCGCCACGTCAATGACGTCATTGTCGTTGTTGATGTTACTTACAGTCAGCGCACCTGTCAATGCCGCCACGAACATTTGGTTATCGTCGGGTTTATGCTTTTATTTGTTTGAGGTTGTTTTTGGGATTTTGGGAGTGTGCGTTAGTCGAGCTGAGCAACAGGCGCTCCAAGGAATAATTTCAAATCGACGAAATACGTCGTCGGGGAGAAGTTGGCGTTGTTGGTGTTCCTTGTAGATGGTCTGCAGAATCAGCCTATCTCGCTAATATCTTGACATTTTTTGTATTTACTTTCCTTAACAGTTTTACTTATCTTGGTGTGTTTTTCTCTAAAACAATAAGCAAGTGCACGGTCATGCAAACGCTTGTAACTAGAATTAAAGATATTGCACATTGTAACCAGAAAATTGAGCATTATTCATTCCGTTGGTAGGGGCGTAAGAACTGAGAATCAATGGGCAACAGTGGTTAAAGTGTGATGATGGTGATGTCCGCTAGAGACGCTTGCGTGTCAGCTGAGAAGTTCATTCCGACGCGACCACTAGATGGCGCAGTGCAGTATTGCACAATACGGCTTTTTTGTGTTGAAACTATATTTCTTGAACTATATAACTCGATCGTAAACAAATGTTTTTTCTTGTTGCAGATTCCTTTCGAAACCCTTCGGAATGGTGTAGACTGGCTTACTGGGAGTTGGCCCAACGGGTGGGCCCACTCTACCCTGTAGAAGCTCCGGCTGTGAATGTTTTCGGTGACGTACCCTATTGCGATGGTCTATCGCTAGAGACCTTAAGTCAACACAACTGCAATGCTCCAGAGTCAGTGCGACATGGACGGTGTAAAATCGGTTTAGGTGTGTATATGTCATTGATTTTGAAAATTTTTCCTCCCAAAAAGGGCCTCTGGAAATTGGAAGGTGCACATGTTTATCGTCAACCCAATTTTCACTCCGAGGAAAAAACACAAACACATTTGTAAATGAATAACATTTTTATCCTGACGAAATTCGACGTTATTGTGTACCTTTCCATTGATGTGACATTTTTTTTTTTTTTTTTGACTTGAGAGGTGTGTTTTTGGAGAACTGTATATTCTCATGATGTGATACTGTGATGAGTAAGTAAACACTCGACATGTTATCAAGCAGATAAAACTAGATTTTTATCTAAATCTTAGTTAATATTGGTGAATTGAAAATATACAGTATTCACTATACCAGTAGTAGTTAAAGATACAATAAAATGCTTTGTTCGCGGAAGCGCACACGATATAGATTTCATTTGTCAAGTGCAGAAGATTTATTAGTGTTTATTGAAACGATAAGTTGTCATCAAGAAAACAATTCCAAAAATTAAAAACTTATATGTATATTTAAAAGTACCGGGACTATTAATGATGAAAGCAAATTTTTGTGTTGGCAATTCTGAATTATTATATAATATACAGGGTGGTTCGTTTATTTGATACAACCCCTGTAACTTTTTTGTGCTTAAACATAAACGTGTAGTGCTTTGAGCAAATTTGTGTCATTTTGAAAGATCTATGTTATGACAACCTCACATTTTTATTATCACTTCCGGTCGAACCGAAAATGACGTCAACTTGATTTTTTTATGGAATACTAGGTATATTTTTTCATAAATGGAAAGACTAATTTTTTCTAAAAAATCAAGCAACCAATAAAATCAATACTTAAAAAGTTATTCAATAAAATATACGAAAAATTCATATTTATTGATGAGAATCTAGTAGCTTGAAAAATTGTTGTCATGTCATTTATTCACATAAGTGATCTTTTAAAAGGATACAAGAACTATAGTCTTTGCCATTTCTATTGAAACACCACTTGTTGATCGTAAATTTGGCAACGTTCATATTCACACAATTTTCTAACGAAAAGCCGTTGTCAATCAATCGAAAACTGTTAGCAATTGCTAAATTTTAGGGAAAATCAACAGGTGGTGTTTCAATAGAAATGGCAAAGACTATATACGTTTATCTTTAAAAGTAAAAATGTTACAGGGGTTGTATCAAATAAAAGTAACACGTGATATAAAGAAGTGCACTTCAGGGATGAGGGAACTTCTGTTAAAATAATCTTTGACCAATTTTTTTTCACTTGCACAAGTAAACATTGCGGGCACTTGTAATAAAATTTGCCCTTTTTTACAGTAAACCGTAATTACGCTCACGAAACTCTAAAAGGGATAAATTTCATCTTGAATCTACACCAAAAAATTAACCATGATCCAGTTGTCCTTAATAAAAATAAAAACTGTATTAGATGGGATTAGATAAATAACTTTGATTACATTTATAATAAAGTACAAATTAGATTGTTGATAATACTGAAAATGACTCCTGTCATCTTTGGGGCACTAACGGAACTAAACATATTTTTGTATGATACGAAGAAACTCTAATGGTCAGTATTTCGCGTGTTGGTTGAGCTTTCATCATCGTTAACCCTACCTCCTCGCTCGTCGATCCTATTTAAGTGCATTTTTTCATTGCAGGTGTTACGCTGTCTCACGAGGGCGGCTCCGTGTGGGTGTACAACCGCTCGGACAACCCCATCTTCGTAAATTCCCTAACTCTGGACTCTGCCGATTCTCCCTTACCTACTCGAGTACCTGCCGAGCAATGCCTGTGCGTGTATGACCCAAAGAAGGCGGCTCATCGAACCTGCGGCTGGGATTTCACGACCCCCTTCGGCCCCGTCGATCCGAACTCCATACGGATCAGCTTCGCCAAGGGCTGGGGTCCGTGCTACAAGCGCCAGGAGATCACCTCCTGCCCCTGTTGGCTGGAAATACTTTTGGCACCGTGCAGGTGATCGAGAGACCCCTCGATCGCCCCGACGTGTTGTACAAATGTGGAACTAAATTGTGATCCAGTCGACTTCCGTTGTCGTCGCTACCTTGAGAAGGCTGAATTTTTAATACAGGAGCGGTGCTGTGGTGTTTCCGTCCTACTCTTCTTCTTTTTTCGAAACACAAAAAATTCCTGCCTTAGCGAAAGATGATGGCGTGCAAGCCTGGCCACAGGGTAAAATGGAAGCCAACGTGTGCGGTTATATGTATATCTGAACTACCTATGGACTTTAACAAATTTACACGAAACGAAGGATCCATATTGAAGATATTTTTTATACGGTTTTCTGTTTGTTAATTATTTTTGTTTTTTTATGCCATTGCGACTTTCGGAAGAATTCGAGATTCTAACTGGCTGTCGCAAACAAGTGTCTGTCAAAGATGCGTCATATAGTACATATAAAGATTTTGTGGACTTACCTTTGCCGACGATACGAAAAGCTTCTTTTAAATTGTCTTCAGTTAGAACAGAGTTGTGGAGTTGAAGGTGAACGGACTTTAGAGACTTGAATTCTTTTGACAGTTAATGCAAAAAACAGAGCGTTTAAGTGCTATAGAGGCTTTAATATTGAGAGGGGTGACTTTAATGTTTGCGTACTCTCAGTGTTAAGAGCGTTATAGACCGAGAAAGTTGTATTAAAGTCGAGGAACTTGTGAGAGTAGAAGTACTGATGTGACGTAATTTAGATATTTATCAGAAAAGGCCTTATATACATCGTCGCAACGATGAACATTATTAAGGTTTAAAATTTAATTTGAGGCTTGCGAATCTTGGGAGGTTTAGGGCCTCAAGTAGTGGGGGACCATCCGTAAACTTTAATGATTTCAGGTTATTTAATAATAAATAATTAAAAGCATTTTTATTTTTGTATATGGTCGAGTGTTTTCCAGTCCATTTGTTTGATTAATTTCTGTGTAAACAGTTCATCCTTTGCTTTCCTGTACTTATTTTATTGATTGTGAACGCAATTGGTAATAATTGGTATTCTGCATTTTGTCCCGCCCTTTTCAATATGTATATTTTGTATTAACCAGAAAGGGTCTTCATTATTTGATCGATTGTCTTTATGGAAATCTTACTAGTCATTTAAAATACGGAATTCCGCGCGCCTAGAGTGTAGGTCATGCCTGTTCATAATGTAAAATATGTTCAAAATTGTAAAGTAATATGTATATGTTCAGAATTTATATAAAGTGTTTAAAAATTTGTAAATGATAGCAGTGCCTTCATAGCAATCATATTATGAAATCTACATAAGTACTGTACTTTCTGCGTTATGTAGGAAATATTCATTGGTTTTATTTATTTATTAAATTTTTAAATTATACATTTTTGTATATCAAAATAAATTTATTTATAAAACCATTAAACATTGTGTAATTATTTTACATTCCTTAACCCACAGAATGAACGAACGTGAAATTTGGAAATTGAAGATACAAATTATTTTTGCTGTTTTCACGCTGGCGTTTCTCCCATCCGCCTAATTGTCCTACTATGTCGTAATTCAACCTTTCTGGGCCAGGCAGTAATCTATAGCTGCGTGATAGTTCGACAATGCTGTATTTTTCAGTATAACATCTATTATATACCTTCTGTGTGTTACGTGTTGGTCCGTAATTGGGACTAGTGCCTGCTTATTGCCTAACTTACTGACTAATAATAATAATAAAAGCTTCATCCTTACATCAAGATATAGTCTAAAATGTATACCTTATTGCTAATGGTCAACATAAATATTTGCCTCGGCAATTAAATTTTTAACTTAAAAGATAGGCAACTAACAATACTGCTACGTATAATCGCTCATATACATGGAGGGAAAATTATTCCTCCATGCTCAAATACCATAACATAAATTTGCAGAATCAACTTTTTCTAACAATTTATCTTATTAGAAACTAGATTTGTAATTTGAAAAACTGCAGAGAAGACGCTCCTCCCGTTTAGGTTAAATCACATAATTATTGACTATCAACTTGAGCTACATTATTGAAATACATATTGACTTCCATTTTATTATCAACAAAATAGAATACATAGAAACATAACAAACCCCAGTTTAATCTATAATAATACACTCGGGGCCTTCAAAATCAATACAAATAACACTATCTTCTTGTTCATCAGACGAACTTGATGTATCAAAAGTAAACTTTGGCAAGGACGAAGTGGACGCTAACGCAAGTGGAGTATTTGAGGGTACACTCCATTTTTTGTTTTCAGAACTGACGTTAATTTGATTTGTTTCTTCATCTAAATTTAAACCACTTTCATCTGAACTCGAGTCATCACGTGTGGGTGACAACATTAATGTCAATTTTGGATATTCCTTTTGTTTATTCATTTTCTTTTTTCTGGTAGCATATTTCCTCGTAATATCTATTTTATTGAAATATTTATAAAAGTTCTCCACTGTCTCCAAGGACAAATTATAACGCGGATAGTGTAATTCATGGATAATTTTTTTTCTGAAATGTTGCTTCATCGATTGCCACGTTCGTCCCACAATTGTTTCTTTTTCCATATTTTTCCACAATCTATCTCCTTTTATCATGTGGAAAGCATCATGCTCAATGATGTACTCGACTATCTTTTTTTGTTCTTCAGGGGTATATGGTGGGTTATACACCGCCATTTTTCTTCTATATCCTTTATTTTGTTATCTAGAATGAATACAAAAAACACCCTTCATACGTGCGCGATTGGAACAAAAATTTATTTGAAATATTTAAACTCCATTTCTCATAAGGTATCAGTTAACATGCATAGAAAACACAATTAATACGTTCACGATTGGAAGAAAAAGTTACCTACTTTGAAATAAAATTAATTCGTAAGCAGGACTCGAAAAAATCAAAATAACGCTGTTAACAACTACATATTTGAAAACTTATGTTCAACACGTAGAAGATTTAAACTTTGTTTAGTTGTTTGACAGATTTGACAACACAAAGTTTGACAGTGAATTGCGACATTTGAGAGCACCGTTGCCGAACTTGCATTTTTCACAAAAAATCTAAATAATATTATTTTTTGTAAATAATTTATTACATCACTGGGCGGCAAGAGGAATTGGAAGTGGATGCTAGTAATAGTACCGATTACCACTGAGCATTGCAAGTTCTCTTATTCTACGCCATCTATTAGGGAATTCCAGAGCGTTGTGGCAACGCTGTTTGCCTTCCAAATACTTGTACTTGTTAGGTAATCAGATTAATTATATTGAAAATGTATTTAGATCATTACGTATTGCAATGTGTTATATATATATATATATATATATATACATTTTTTTTTTCAGAATATCTGGGTTTTATTAAAAAATAACTGAAATTAGAATTAAATTTAATAAATAGAAATTTGGTACTGACTTTTAAACTACGCGCTTGCTTGTTACTTGGCCACTGCGACGCCAGGTGACTCTACTTTTTGTGTTTCTTGAAATTTATAGGGACTTTACATTTCTAATAGTTGTCAGCTGTGATAGAATTTTAAGCTGTGATTTTAAGTGTTCTATGGGTATTATCTCTGGTATAGGCGTGATATTATAGGTTAACTTACTTCATTTCCATAATGATCAACAAGGGATGTTTTGGGATCATTTAAATTCAGAGATTTATTACTACACAAAATGTCAATACACTGGATAAACATCACTCCCAGGTAAAAATATCAAACAAAGTAAACAAAAAAAAAAGTTATTTATTGTAGGCTGCAACAGGGTGTAGCTTTAATCAATTCCTTAAACCAAAGTAGATTTACTCTTCTTATAAAACGTATCATCCAGTCGGAAAACGAAATTTTTACAGAGGCTGAATTGACGAAGCTTTCAGAATCATTAAAACTGGATAGTGCAAACTTACAATTGTTGCTGCAGAGTATTGTTCACATTTTCAAACAATCTCTGAAAATAATCCTGAAACCCACAGCTTTACAAGAACAGTTAATTGAAAAACTCAAGTTCACTGAAGAGAAGGCGGATGATTTTGTGAGGTTATGGACAGAAGAAACAAAGAGAAATTTTGATGTGGAAAATTCTAAGAATTTAGATAACGTTTCGTGGGAGCTGAATGTCGAAAGTGCTTGTTCTTTTTATAATAAGGAACAACATATTAACGCCAGGTTGCAAATGAGTCTGTTAAGTGTGGATGGTGAAGACAAGGAACATGTGACATTGGAGTTGGATGAAAATGAATTAGAAAATTTGTATGCCACATTAGAGAAAATTCAAAATAAGTTGGATAGCATTTAACATGTATTTTATTAATCCAGCTATCCATATAAGGATAGAGGAATTTTGTTGTATGGTCATACTACTGCCTATAATGTGTATAATATTAAATAGTTTACACCACATGAAATGGGTCACATTGGTTGCGTCAAAAATTGTCGGGCTGAAAGTAGATCGCACACGGGTGAGGCGAGAAATACGGGTTGCATAACTATGTGGTGGGGCTGCCAACGGTTTCTAGAATAGTCGATTGTAGTCAACGCCTGCAAGACTATTGAATAATAATAAAAAGGTCGAGTGCATTTTAAGCGCATACAAATCCAAAAGCAAGAAGTGACTTCATGGTTCAACTGTAGAATTCTGTACTGAAAGAAAATCATGAAGTATAGTTTTCCCAGTTAGATATTTTTTAGATTCATATTTTTCTTTCAATCGAAAACAAGAAGTAGTTGATTTTCATCAGTTTGAATGTTTTTAATCATAGGATTTGTACCCAAAGTTTTAGACTTCCTTTTTAGTCATAAAATTATTAAGAGATTTCAGTCCGCATGGACGTGACTAGATATTGCTCTACTCTTTGAAGGACCTATTTTTGTATTATATTTGATTATAATGGTCCATGGTTACGAACTACGTTGAACTTAAATTGTCTCAGATTGGAATATGGATGGATTAGCTTTTGCAAATTGACCTAAGTCTGGGTTCAAATCCATATCCAAAGACAGTATATTGGTGTTTTGACCTAAATTGTCTCCCCTCCGGATAGACTAATTAACATTAATTCAAAATCATTCGAAATTTAACAGTCACAATAGAATATCAATAAGATAGGCAATGAATGATACTAAACTGATGAACTAAAATTAATAGAATTCAAAATAATATTTCTTCATTTTTGACTGAAGTAAAAATTACGGACAATCTATTTTCTCTTCTGTTAAGTGTGAAATATATAAATACTTTTATAGCTCTTTAATAGCAAAACTAAACAAATTAATAAATTTTAATCTTGCTGTAGCTTCAAATTGTCTTCCTCATTCTTACAAAATTATTTTGCAGTTAACTCAAAATTTCAAGTTTTTCTTTTAGTTACGTAATTGCAAATTATAGGTATTCGAACTTCAAAAAATGTGTGCAATATTTTCGAATATTAAGATGCAACATTATTTTTAGAAACATGGTTACTAGGTATACATTTTAAAAATTGTTAAAACTCAAATTATCTATATTATGAAGCTATTATGTATAGTTTTCTGCATGTTACTGTTTGGTAATGAAATATTTGCCTTCTTTTAAAAACACTTTTCTACTGTAATGTTTTCATTTTAGTTTTTAAGGTGATGATGAAGAAAAAAATTGATCAAATACGCAACACGTTAAAAAATATAAACTTATGTTTTTCTGAAAATGTACAAAAAGGCGCCTCTAGAGTGGAGTTTAAAAAAAAACTGTTTATTTTTGGTTTTTTGAAGGTCGGTTTCATCGCAACTAAATCGCACAATAAAATTCGACTTCATCAATGTCGATTTAAACCATATGATGGTACAAATGCGGTTTTAGTGCTTGTTTTGGAAAAATAAGAAAATCATTTATGACGTCGTACAAATGAACTGGAAAATTTTAGCATAAAAGCCTTCTTCGCGGTATCGCAGTACAATACGAATTTTCAATTTGCCAAACTTCGTACCATGTCACAACAGACGTCAGTCTTAATAATCTTCTTTCTTCAAACAACCATTCACTTTATCAATAACATTATTTGCCGCTTCCACACCGACCGGTAGCATCTAATTTACAACTAATTTGCCTGTTGTATTTTAACTGCATAATGACCCTTATTGTGCAGAATAACAGTGATAACTCTCACCATCTCATTCTTAGTCTAGGCATTCATTGTGATAATCAAGTGCAGATTTAGGAATACTAAAACAGTTCTATCGATTCAGTTGTGTTCCAAGAGTACCTACCTAACTTATGTGTTGGCGTTTTGACGTTTTTGTTCCAATCGTGATAGGTAAGAATGTTTAGAGTAATATTTAGAATAGAAAAAAAAAATACACCGAGATAAGTTAAAACATTGTTTTTATTTTTTTGTAGTAAAATTGCGCAACCAAAACTCACGTGTTTCTTTGTTTAAAATAACATAAAATAGAAATAATACAAAACCCTGTAAGGTAGCGGTTATACAAAATATATAGAAAAGAACAATTTTTAAAGTCGACTGTTTTAACAGTTCGGCTAAGAGCCCGAAAACCCAAGGAAGGCCTAACACTGAGAAAAGCAGTAATGCTAGGAACAATCGCAGCTTAAATAAATTGTTCTTGCAACAAGAACTACTTTTATTGGAATGTGAAATATTATACATTACCAAACAAAAGACAGTTATATTTGCAATCATGATTAAACATATAGGGATTAAAACGGTTGCATATAACCACATGCCACGGGGATAACATAATTCGTAAGAACTAGAAACGTAACTTTCTGTATTTATCAAACCTACAACAGAAACAAATGCTAGAGGTATGCCCCATCCTACGATTACAGATTTTAAAATTAGGTTCTTAGGAATTGCACCAATAACCCTAACAAAGCGATAATACTGTAACCAAGCGTAAATCAGCATCCAAGAAAATTTACTCAGAATGACATAATGAAGAATCATTCCGACAATTTTGCAAAAATGTTGTGTCGATTTCAAAGTTTTGATCTCGGATAAATGGATGCAGATTATTTCCAGTAGTATCGCTATGGATAAATTCAGAAGAACTTTAGTTCCGATTTTTTTTCGCCATGCTTCATAAAAAAAAGCTGTTAAGAATATACCTATAATACCAATTCCCGAGAACACGCATCCTATTATTGTCAAAATCTCCAAAATGTACTCGTTCATATCCTCGAGAATTTCCTTTTGAACTTCGTCGTCACCATCAGGAATAATTTTTTTGTCGCTCATCACCAACAACGCAAAATGTGTTAAGTGAATGAACGAGCACTCGTGTAAATCGTCAGTATGATTTTGGACGTAGTTGCTTCCCAACACTGACCAAGTTCCTTTTTTCCATTGGGTTCTCTTACCGTTGTCCCAGAAACCACACATATTGGAATGGGTGTGGTTTTTTGATTTAAACAAGATCGGAATTGGGCTTTTCAGGTAAGTACCGTATCCTGGAATTGACACGCTTACGACAAAGCTTCCAGAGTGGAAACGATCATCAACGAAGAAATTATCATTATAAAAAACTACGGTCATGAGGACCACGTCCGTAATGTTGCTGTCGGTTTCGTTTAAAATTTGCTCGAGAATCACTTCAGGAACATAAAGTGCTAGTTCCAGATTTTCTTTATTTGCGTCGTCGAAAGATTTTCCGCGTTGGAAATCTTCCACGTGGTTTTTGTAAACTAGTAATCCCGAAATGTTACTCTGGAAAGGGTTAGTTAGATGGACTATGAGATTATCTTTCCGAGTACAATACACCAAATCTGGATAGGAAGTGAGATTGGTAACTATACTTTCGATTATGTCTAAAGTAGTGTCGGCTAAATTTAACACGTTTTGGGATTTTTTCAACGTTCTGTCGTCGGTGAGCATTAGCTTATTTACAAAATCCAGTGCGTAGTTGTTGTCCGGGAATTTTTCCAAAATAATGTCTAAGTAGTAAATATCCAAAACCGTTAGATTTGCGTGTCTCACAATATTCCAAACAGCTTCTACAGACGTGTCGAGAGACGTGGCCATATCCCTCAATTTTACGGTGATGGCAGAAATTGGAGGGTCGTCAATACAGCGTCCAGTTACGTTGGACCAATATGCCCCATGCAGAAAACTTCCCTGACACTGTCTAATAATAGGAGTACCATCGTTCACCAAACAAAACTGTTTCGGCACTACCGCATTATGTATTTTCGCCAAAGGCCATTCCAACTCTAAATGACCGAGCCGTGTCCTTTCAGGCAAACAAAATTCGCTACTTCTGAACTCTATACATGTTATACCCTCATATCTAAGTTTTTCTACGTTTGTTAATAATTTGTAGTACTCGGTCGCAATATCCCAGTGTTTTCCAGTACTTACATGAACTAAAATATCTGCAATGTCGTTGTAAATGTCAAACTTGAACATTTCCATGACTCTTATTTCAGCATTGAACTCCCTAAAACTTTCTTTCAGTTTCTTTTTCGTCAAATATTTGAAAAAATCGTCCAAATCGCAAGGCGAAAATTTGCAGATGTTATCGATAATAAGCCTCAAGGCGTACTCATTTCCTCTCTTTTTTTTATAAGCTATGACCGTCTCAGATTTGAGAAAAAAGTCATTTCGCGTGAAAGCTTCACACCAATATTCTCCCATATACTTCTCCATTTCGACCGCATACACAAGTAACGTATTTGGAAAGCTGGGATCAGAGTCTGAATGGTTAAAAATTAAAACCATATCAAGTCTCTTCTTCAAACTAGTTTTCGCAGCATTCGTGAAACAAAAAAATTTAACTTGGTCTCCGTCTTGATGAATACCTTGAGGCGAATAAACGACTAAATATAATTCGTGCTTCTTTTCTTCGAACGATAGTACTAATTTTGGTGCCACTGTTTCGATGGAAGTTTCACATATGGTACAATTTGTAGAAAAATTCCCATACACCCAAACACTCGCATTCACGTAAGGATGCATACCAAATAAAGAGGAAAAATTGGGCCTACTCTTATCTAAGCGACACATTTCGTTACCTGCTAGGGACTGTATGATTTTTTTGTCGTTAGGATTTTGAATAGTCGCTATATTCTGACAATTCTGGGACTTACAGTAACATCTGGAGTTGGTGCTTGAAATTTTGCATTCTGCTGAACATGTGAGAACAGTGTTATTATAATTTATCTGTCTAAGTACCGGAGACAAAGAACTATGCTGATAATTCTTGTGTTCATCTCGATTGATTTCTTCCAAAACGTCGGTATTGGTACCGTTGGAAATCTTTTGGCAAAGTGGAGTTCTAATAGGTTTCCAAGAACCATCGACGCAAACTCTCGTAATTAACTCAAACGTGCTGTCAAAACATGGCGGTTTCGAGACGACTATTTGATGTTGGATATTGTCGGACATCCACAGGGCCTTTTCGTTGGTACCAGGTATCGATGAGTACTCGGACGGACATTTCTGAATATTTGAAGCTAATTTCTGCACAAATAACAGCAAAGCGACTTACCTCAGAAGCGGTTAGTGAAATTAGAAGTAGCAGTAGTATGTTAACGAGTTTTTTCTGCTTACTTATATAAAGAAAAACGTAAATTACTCGCAACATTCTGCCGTCGTTACAATCTCTGTACTAATAACACGCGAATTTATTATTTCGGTTCTTAAGAACATGGTCAATAAAAAGATAACGTACAATTTAAACAGACCTAGTCACAAAACAATAATTACTAAACGCTATTTACTTTATTAATCGATTATAAATCTGACCAGAATATTTATTGTTTGTTTGCAGATTTTTCAAAAAATGTTGTCTTTCTTTAAGGCTTTTACCTTGCTAATATTTCTGGTCACGGTAAGTCCAAATCCCTCAAGTACCAAAATAACAACGAAGCTTTAGGTAGAAGCTCGTACTAGGCGAAGTATCGACCTCATAGCAGCACACAGCCTCGTCGCCGACTCCAGACTTCCGCGCGAAATCAGCCCGAACAGCTACAACCTCGAAATCGCGCCTCAGCTCAACGAAGGTACTTTCAATGGTAGAATACGCATCAACGTTACCTGGCAAGAACCCACAGACAAGATTACGCTCCATGCATACGAAAATCTGGACATATTTAAAATCATCGTCACACAGTTTGTGCCAGATGATGAAACGTAAGTAAACAAGAGATAGTGAGTTGGAGGGATTAACTCTGTCGTAGCGAAAAGGCGTCACCGAAATCTTTACTGCCAACTCAAATCAGAGTCTTGAAAACCCAAAGAGACCCGAAGACCCCTTTGTACGTCATTCATTTGGAAAAAGTTGCGAATAGAGGAACGCAGTGCGAGATCGATCTCACGTACAAAGGGCGGATGTTTAACGATACCAGCGAAGGGTTGTTCAGAAGTAGCTACGTGGATCCTCAAACCAAAACCCAGAAATGGTTTGCGGCAACACATTTGCGGCCGAATTTGGCAAGAAAGGTTTTTCCGTGCTTCGACGAACCAGAGTACAAAGTGCCGTTTGTCATTAACGTGGCGAGGCATAAGAATATGACAGCGCTGTCCAATATGCCCGTGGAGGCCACAAAACCCATGTAGATGTTTTCTTGAAACGGTGGTCACAAAGTAACGGCGGTCTTTGTTTTAGGGAAGAAAAACCAGACTGGGTTTGGGATAGGTTCCAACAAACACCTCCCATGTCTACGTTTTCGGTGGGCATAGTGATTTCGGAGTTCGATTACGATTCAAGCAACTTTGATACGGAATACCAGAAGCCTGGGACGACTCTACATTCCAAAGTAAGAGTTTGGGCACGACCTGACTTTATCAGTGCTCTGAAAAACGTGACGACCAAAGTGTTCAGAGCGATCAAAATTCTAGAGGAATTTTGGGGTTGTCCTTATCCCCTTCCAAAGTTGGATCTGCTGGCTCTTCCCAACTATCAAGCGACACGTCCTGCCGATAACTGGGGATTACTCCTCTTCAAGTAATTTATTCCGTGAACTCTTTCTGACCAGTTTTGTAATGCGGTTTTCGTCTTAGGGAGAGCGAGCTCAGCGGTCGCGGTTCTTGGCATATTTCCCAAGAATTAGCGTACCAGTGGCTGGGAGCGTTAGCAACTCCATTTTGGTGGAGCGATGCCCACATTAACAATGCCTTAGCCAGATACGTCACTGCATACACGACAGTTAAGGTACCATTTTTCCCACATCAGAACAAAATACACGACTAAATATATCGAAATCGAAATTAGGTTTTTTCTTTCGATTTTAAACTCTATTTATAAGTAACGAGAGCTCTAGACAAAAACTTTAACTACGCTTCGGTTTTTACCATACAATCAGTTGAATTGTATATGATATACATCTCGTTCAAAACGGATTCCATGCCATTCTTTTTCAGATGGAAACCAACGAATCTTTTAATAACTGGCCCATGACCATGTTGTACTCAATTTACTACGAGTTCAGTAAAAGATATCCACATGGAAAAAGTACTGCTATTAAACAAGATTCCACATCGGCAAAGACCGAGCTCGTTTTCAGAATGCTCAATTATACCCTTGGAGAAAGAACTTTCAAGCAAGGTTTGCAGAATTTTATGAAGGACAGGTAAAAACTCGTAGCGTTCGTATTTTCGCACCGGTCATCGTTTGTTATTCAGGCAATACAAAACCTTCTTCGCTGATGATATTTGGAAGTCGCTAACTGTACAGGCCAAGAAGGATCAAGTCTTAAAGGATGACATAACGGTAAATTCAATTGCAGGCTCATGGATCACCAAGGACAGGCTACCCGTTATTAACGTTACTAGAGATTATGACAAGAAAACTGTCACGATTTCTCAGGTAGAACTATTGCACAAAAACAAACCACATTCGCAGTGTTTTTTCTAGAGGGTGTATCTAAGAGAGCGTCCTCATGATGTCCCCGACCAAGAAAAATTTGTCTGGTGGATACCCATCATTCTCATTCGAGAAGACAAAATGGATTTTACCAACTCAACACCAACAGTCTGGATGCGGAAACAAAGAGAGATCACTTTGACAGATTTACCAAGTGACGACAAGTTTATTATTATAAACCCAGAAGAGATCGGCCCATTTCCCGTCAACTACGACATCCAGAACTGGAACATGTTAGCCCAATATCTCTGTACTGAAAATCGTGTCAAGATCCCAGTTAATACAAGAGCCAAACTCTTACATGACGCTTGGAATTTAGCTTACGCCGGAGATTTAAGTTTTGCTACTGCTTTAAATATGACGCTGTTTCTCAAACACGAAAGGGAGTATCTAGCGTGGGATCCAGTGTTCACTTTAATTGATCACATTGGTAGACACATCGATAGTTCAGATGTTCATAAGAAATTCCAGGTACTTATTATTTACGAGCAAAGGCAAGAAAAATCGAAGACTTCTTTTGTAGACTTATGTCCGATTATTACTGACCCCTTTGTACGAGGAACTAGGTGATGAACCGCAAGATGGAGAATGCGAGGGCAAGAGCCACTTGAGAAGTTCATCTAAAGTGTTCTTATGCCAGGCTGGTTACAAGCCGTGCATCGAAGAAGCACAAACCGCTTTCAAGAAATGGATGGAAAGTGAAAATCCAGATGAGGGGAATCCGTTAGTAATTTTTTTTACTTTCTGAATGTTTTTAATGTTTGGTTTGCAGCGTGTCAAATCAGTACATTTGTCCCGTTTTCAAATGGGGAACTAATGAAGAATGGGAGTTCGGATTACAACGTGTTATTAATTTCCCAGTAAATCGAAAACAGAGCGAACGAACCTATCTTTTAAAAACTCTAGCTGGATGTCCGAATGAAGCTGCGAAGATTGAAAAACTGTTGAATATTACGATTTTGGAACAGAATGGTAACTTTACAGACAATGATGTTTATTTGATTTTCAGTATGTTGACCGGAAGTGCGAATGGGTACACAACGCTTTTCAACTTCTTAAAGAAGAACTGGGACACTATTAAAGTTAGGTACGTACGAATTATTCATTTTCATTTTTTCTATATTTTTCTAATATTTCTTTATAATTCAAATTCCAATACGTCACCGTTTAAACAGATTTACACTTAAAAAGGAACTATTCTTTTCAATACAAGTTTTTTTTTTACCAATAGATTGGATTTTAAACTGTGAACTTTTTTCTGTTTTCTTTTTCCAAGAACAGAGAGATCAAAAGTTGAACTTGTTTACTTATAACACTTGTAATAGTTTCAAGGAATGTGTACATCTCAGGTTAATTGAATTTTTAAATTATATATAAATGATGAACAAGGTTGAATTACACGCATTTCCCTACATTATTTTTTAAATAACTGGGAATTTAGGTTTCAAAATACATTAATTTCCTGGAATTTGATCTAATACGACGATATTGTGAAAAGAATGGAAAAAGTGCGACTTACTTACTAACTAATAAAGGTGCTTAATTTATTGATAACAGGCGACATATTTTATATTTTCAAATGATACAACTACTTTTTTGTGAAATTTAAAATAGTTGTAGTTAGTTATTGTATGATTTAAGTTTCTGCACTAAGACAAACTTGTTTTTGAGGTTGACTTTGATGTGTTTATGATGTTTCCCTGAAATGACGTAGTATCCTGTAATAATTTTTCTCGATCATTAATAATTTCTTCCAATAAATGATTTGTCTTCTAAGAAATTTATACATACATCATTTACTAAGTATTTAAAAAAAACAGTACTTTGAGACCAACTAACTCTCCTCATTTTTCTCAAAACTAGTTTAAAACTGTGGTAATAAATTTTTTATAGTGTGGTATTCATTCTTTATCACTTGCTTATATTTTTCCAGTATATGTGAATAATGTCATGCAAGTATGTATTAGATATACAACGTTGGCCTTTAGATAACACTGACTTTTTAATTTTTTTTCAAGAACATATTCAAAGCACTTTATCGCACTAAGTTCATTATGTATGGGTACATACAAACATGAGTGATTTATTGTAAAACAGTTTAACATAATAATTGCAGGAAATTTAATATTTTTAACACGTGGAAGTATATGCATAAAAATGTCTGAGAAATTATATAAAAAAAAAAAAACTATGGATTAGCAAGTAACAAAATTGACAATAATTGCGTTTTTTTTATCATAACCAAGTGTCGCCTTCTTATCAACCACAATTCCTTCAAGAAATAAAGACAGTTTTGACAATCGCGGAAACAATTCAAACGTAACGTACCAACGAGTCTAATAATTGTTGTAAATATTATGCAACGCAATTTTTATGGTTATCTATAATCAGTTTCCTACAGGTGTCACATTGAATTGTACCTAAATGTTTAGATGCTTGTTACGTAAAAATATGTTTTGTTACAGATAATTAATTATTATGTAAAAAATACGTGTTGTAACAAATAACTCGAAGCTCATCAAATAAAAATGCACCTGCGCGAAAAATCATGTCCATGTACGTAGCAATCAGTTGAATGCTTCCATGTGTTTTTAAATAGTTAAGTGCTTACGTTCATGGTGTTTTAAATGTTTAAAAAATCACACACGTAACTACAAAAACCGATAGGTAAACCAATGCCAGTTATTTCAAGGATGCGAAATCATTGCTGATAAGTTTACTGCATTGTTGTATACGGTATCATAAATATATAGGTTTACAATATGATTTATTATGTAAATAAACTAATTGCTGGTTCGAGTCCTCGTATCAATTTTCAGATCGGAACGTTTTTGATAACAATTTAAACATTTAACTTATTTAACACGACCAAACGAAATCAGACATTCATAAAAATAAATACTTTTAGGTTCGAGGGAAAACTTCATTTATGGAATAGCCTGATAACATCCGCGACTACGGTCTTCAAAACACAAGAGGGCCTAGATATGGTCTCTGAGCTCTACGTCCAACGACAAAGTGAATTCGGAACAGCTGATTTCGTAATCGAAAAAGCCTTAAAGAACATCAAAGAGGAGACAAAGTGGAGCAACGATAACCTTCCCGTTATCGAGCAATGGCTAGACGAATATTTAGAAGTCAACAACGCCACAAAATAATCCATTATATAAAGTTAAATTTGTTTTGAGATAAATATATTTATTGCGTAAAATACAAAATAAAATTCGTGCTATTTCATTAAATCCAGTTCCTTTTAACCAGTGCGAGAACTGTGTCTTTGAGTTTTTTCCGGTGCGCAGGCCCCAAGAGGTCCTTCCGGCTCCAGTCGCTGTCCTGGAAGTCTTCTAAACTATTCTGGACCTTACCTCTTTCGGTGCAAATTGGTTTCAACATAACCAACACGTGGTAGATTTCGGTGGGGGCAATTTCGTCCAGTTCTCGTAGAAATGCGTCGAAAGTGTAATCACTAACGTCCAGATCGAATTCTTTTAATGTCGAAATGAAAGATTCAAAGTACAGCTTTATCAGATCTTCGTAATTGTCGTCGAGAACTTTGTTGATAATACTAGTAAACATGAAAAAAATTACATCTCTGGCAATCGAGCTGTATGTCATGATCTGTAAATCGACCATCTTGTTCTTAACGGGAATACCTTCTTCGTTGGCTAATACCATGGTGTTGGACGTCCAAAAGTCCGAATGAGTAACGCTCCCCCACAGTTCCTCGGGTGGTACTCTGTCGACGTAGGGATTTGCAGCTGCATAGTCCACGACTTTTCGAATTCTTTCTAAGAAGGGTTTCAGTTCTTCGAGCTCCGCGGCACCTTCCATAATGCTGTTGTGAAAAGCCAAACCCACTTCGGGTGGCAGTTGTTCCAAACCTTTGTTCTTGGCGAGACACGGCATCACTTTTTTCTCAAATTCTTCAGGTCTGAGACGCTTTAGTGCAATTGGCACTGCGTGAAAACGCGCCAAATCGTTCAAAATAAGTCTGGCGCCTTCAAGATCAAAACCGACGAGTCTGTCTTCAGTTTTGAACCCCTGAATCTTCAAATTCTCGAAAATGAGAACACCGTCTTCGTCCACTTCGTTCTTGTTGGAGTCCAAACAAACCCTCGCTCCGTAACACTTGGGGAAAAGATTGTCGTACAGACGTTCCTCGGGTACCCCGTACTCCTTCTGAAGTTGTGTCAAAGCCGGAATGGTGACGGTATAAGCGACGACTTCTTTCTTGAACGTGACAGAAATGTCGAAAGCCACCCTCAGCATCTCATTCGCCGGTATCAACTTGGCCACCAGGTTGTACGTTTGTTCTTTGGTGTTCGGTTTTTTGACAGTGACTTGCAGAGAAAGCATGATACTTCCGTAGTGCTCGCCCGGTGCGGTTAGCAGAGTGGTTTTCTGGTCGATGATTTCGATTTCATTTCCTAAAGATTTCGACAAAAGACCGCGCAAATCGTTCACTTTCGATTTAACCATTTTGATTGAATGCTGGTGAGGAACTGTCTAGAGACGCGATAACGGCGGGTACTCAGGGGGCACCACCACGTGACCAATTAATGTGGGAGAGGGCACTTTCAATTAAAACAATTGAAGCATTATTGTTCAATGAGTTTTACGCCTACTCGTAATTTTTAATCAGCGCGTACACAGATCGCCGTTTTCATAACTCTGGACTGTGATATAGTAATGACCCCAAAACTGTTTGGCAGTTGACCAAAATGAGAAGTTATTTTCATTCGGACGACCTAGGTACTATCTAATTATATGCATAAATATGTGACGTGTGGCTATTGTCAGTGCTATGAAAATTATGTTGTTGGAAATGTTTATAAACCTCCTTTTCGATTACATACGGAGTGAATCAGCAAGAAAATTTCGTATGCACGCGAATGGCTCGTTTTTGTTGAGGTTATGCTAATTGCGATTTTATTATATAGAGTTTAATGGTGGGTATGAGTAATGTAAGGAAATGGGACCGTTTAACGTTACGATTGTTTATAAAATAGATAGTCGTAAAAATTAGGTGTTATTTCATCAAAGAAATCTTACTTAAACCAAAAATTGGCCCACACGCCTCATCATTAAATGAAATCATTTCGGATTTACTCATTGTATTTTTCATGAATAAAAATGACGCCTGCAGTTACTAACCTGCTGAATTATTAAACAAACAAAAAATCAATCGAACAGCCAAGAATTTACAATTTATTTTTTAAAACATTTAATTCCTACAGAAAGAAGATATTTTGTTTATTGAGCAACCGGTTTCGTCGTTGTCTCAGGTAATAATCTTAATAGTAGCAACTCACAATTTTGTATAAAAAGTCAGGATTCGACATTTATCTCCGCAAACCACTTTATTTTATTCGACTATTTTTTGGTGAAGTGATTCACAGTTACACTGCCAACATAACGTCATTTTAACGAATGCAAAATCAACAATTAACCTTTCTTTTTTCACAGCCGGTGTCACACGAAAATACACGTTTCTCGTTTATCCGTATGCCATTCGTCGTTTTTCCATTTTATCGACAAAAACAATAAAAACAGTCCCAAATTCAAATTGATGTTACTTAACATGTGCAGCAAATTTTTTCTCTACATGTACTTAAAACATATATCTAGTACTATATTGCTAACTGGCCTCAAAAGATTCCGAAAACATAACGGTAGAGCAATATATCGGACCTCTCTGTCTCTCTGTGGTACTAAACAGTACTGCGCATGCACTCGTACTTGGTTGATTTGTAGTGGATAGCGTGACTGGATGCGTTTTGACATTTCGTACTTTCGCTTCTACATATTTTGTGTACATGCGCACAGACCCTCGGTACTCTTATAGACAGAAAACAACATCTTCTGTCTCTCTCTGTCCGTGAACACCGTTTCTATGTTACTTCTGAAGAGCTAGCAATATAGTACTATTAGATATATGACTTAAAATGATTAATGTTACGACTAGTAATATATTGTGCAGAATGAAAATTAATAAAGTATATGCAAAAAGGTGATGACGGTAATAATCTCAAAAACTTATTAAATAGTACACTTTTCGGTACATAGCGTATTGGTTGTGCTTCGAAGCAAAGCGAGTTCGATAAAAATAGCTTTGTGATTTTTGGTATTTTAACCACAGTATTTACAGAGAACATAGAGAAGCGCCATAGTTTAAATTAAATGACGGTTGAAGACTCGGCAATTTATGTTGGCAGCAGTGTTTGGTTCTAACGAGGAATAAAATTAACTAGAAGAAATGTCACAATATTTTTAACGACGCGTTTTACTTTCGACAAATTGACACTAGATTTACCAGAATATTACAAGCTGCTTACTGTTTCCTTCATTTTCATTCAAGTCACACGAATTACAATTATAGTGAACCAAGGTTTTTATTGGCATCGAGTATTTAAATTTGGCGCTTGCCTTTGGCGGTTGAGGACTCCAATGTCAATAAGGGTGGTTTTGCAAAATCAGCCTCTATGTCGCTTCTCTATGTTCTCTGGTATACTGTGTTTTAACCTTCAAAATATGCAACTAACAGCACTGAAGGTTATGTAGAATCAAGCAACCAGCAATACACCATGTTGTACTATATTACGGGTTATCTAATCTTCAATTAATCAGGAATCCCAGAAATGTAAGTAATTCCACTTTGTTTAAACTTAAACGCACTTTGAGTGTAATTTTTTTATGCTTCAATGGTTTGAAAAAAAAGTTATTTAAGATTAAGAGAGAAGCTGAGTAGTCACTGCCATGGACTTGCATAAATATTGATGTAATTTTTTGACAAACACTGATTTGTTTGTTTGTGCGTTTATTTTTAATAATAATTTAGAAACACAATTGGGGACTTGTTCAGACTTAGTAAAGTTGATTATTATTCATTAGTAATTCATAAGGTCACTGCCCAAGTTATAAAAAGACTGAGGTTATGTAATGCTTGACAAATGAAAATTGACAATTGCCAGATTTTGTTACCAAGGTTAAATGATTGGCTATATTTACTAATTTTATTCTGGTTTTCTCATTTCCCGAAATATTTACTGAAAATAAGATATTTTTTCATATTTCAAGAGTATAGGCAACACATAAAATGCACAATCTATGTGAGGTAGTCTACATTAAATACCGAGACGAAATAAAAAATATACAATTTGGTATGTATCTGTTTTACTTTCCCGGATTCTGAATTACCTCTTTTTTTGCACTTTTTCTTCACCAGCATATGATAGGAAAGTATTGTAATAGGGTCGACCTGACAAATGTCTATTTTATGTTTTCTCAATGTTTATCAATTTATTATTTATTTATTTAACCTAGATTTTTTGAGAAAAAAAAAGTTGACAAAGTTTTACAAATTAACTTATCAGGTTAGGTTATAAAAAAATCTTTATGGTTGGTTACCAGGTAAGACAACCTAGATTTAAAACTTAGTCAATGTAGCTTTGTATGATTAAAATGAAACAAAAATCCTCGAATGTGGTTAAAGTCAAGTTTTAGCACCGAAACTTGGAACCACGGATTCCATTCCTTTTAATGACTGTACTTCATTTCAGCAAATACGTAGGAACCACTTTATTTATTAAAAAAAAAATGCACACTTACTAAAGGATGTGGAGGGCAATCTATTTGCCCTTCCTTTGCCAGCGCCACTGATGGTAGATACTATGCTGGAGACATCGTGTTTTATCGAGTGATTTCTCCGTTTTAATGTACAGTTTGAAAATTTGAAGATCAATATTTCAGACAACAATAATAATCTCGAATGAATATTCTATTCATAATATACATATTCCTTAAAATAAATTTAAAAGCCTTATGTAAAAAGTGGTATGTTATCTGGCAGGTACAAAAAATAGTTTTTTTTTTAATTTAGAAATATGTTTTGCACATAGTAAAGATTTATATTGGCAGTGCTTCATGTGTTTATTCAAAAAATCAAATTATCTAATCTTAAATACCATAATAGTTCTAATAGTTATATGGTAGCCTAAACATAAGAGAACAATTATTGAAAAGTTATTAAAAGTTTATCCGATTTTTTCATTTCCTTTTTTATTATTTTGTGATTTATTGCTCAAATGATCACTTACAATTAAATGAAGGGGTCATTTCGCTAGGTGTAAGTAGTAGTAATGGGAGTGAATTTTTAAATTACTGTCACTTTCGTATCTCCTTATTGTAACATTTAGCTTCTCGTAAGTGGCGTAAAGTAAAAATTTGTGAATGGTACTAACAATAACAAGAATAATAATATTTATTAACGAAAAGCAAAACCATTTACAAAAAAATATACATATAAAGGAAAGTGATATTAACTATATATAATGTACCTATTGATAGGTATATTATATAAGTAAAAAAAAAATGTTACTTGGTTAGAAATTTGAACACAAAAATGGAAACAAAATGAAAAACGTTAATACTACGATTATGGTCCAGTTTTCCTAGTACCTACCTTAATATGCGACTTTTTTAATAGAGACACCTAACACGTTTCCTCGGCCTACACGAGTAAGCGAAGTGTGTCTAAACTCCAAAATATGACTAAAACGAACAACCATCAAACAACCCTTACAGTACCGAAACCATATTCAGTCCTGACGTCTCCCCGAACCCATACGCCATCATCTCCCGGCATGCAAATGCCCCGTCCCACATAACTCATTCTCGAAACTCGTTATCGTAAATCGTCGATCCTCCAAAATGACCAAAACGTCTTTTCACTCAGCTTTTTAGTGCTGTAGGAGTGAGAATGGGTAGCGCGCTACAAGCAACAACAGTCCGGCTCGTTTCCCACGGGCCGGTGGAATGTCGCCCGCCGGCCCCCCGCCCCCCGTCCGACAGGCAAGAACAAAAGGCTGCCAGCGCCGCCACTGCATCCTCGATTTGGCACTTTGCGTACGCAAAGCGAAAAGCCAGCGCTTGGCTTAAGCCAACTTAACACTTGCGCGCCGCTGCGGCCGGCCAATGGGAGACGCGCGCTAGGTGGGCTTAAGTCAGTGCCGTAATTGACAAATTGGCCGATTAGCAGGTGTCGAGGAGCGCGTGCGCGCCCGAAAACGGCCGAACGTGCGCGTGCCGCTAGATGTGTGGTCTCTGCGCACCGTGGACACCCAAGAAGCTGACGTAAACGGCCGAAGTCGAGATGAAGAAGGCGCGTGCCGCGGGATGTGTGGTCTGAAGGTGTCTTAAGAGCTCGGCGCTGCCGATTCACGCCGGAAAATGGATGAGGAGAGACGAAACCTGTCTCGGATCTTAGTCAATGTAGGTGAGAGCTTGGGGATACACTTTTTGGGGGTTACTAAATGCGTTTTATGATTTGCTTTATTGCAGGGCCGTATTCGCAGTTTTTTCAACCCCACGAAAGGGAAAGGCTTACATGCAGTGCTGCTGATTTTTAGTAAATAGATATTTGTGAAAATATTCTAATGTTTTAAGATATCACAGGATCCTAAGCTATCTTACACAATCGACAATGTGCAGTTATAAAATCACTGAAAATCTATATTCGAAAATAACCTCCTCTGTGATTCTACGATTCTTACAGTACCTGGTAAGTTAAAGCTCGAGCTTTAAAAACTAATTATTTTTTAGGCAATAAAGTGAAGTATAAATGGCAAAAAATCATTATTTTTACCGATTTATTTTAAACTTGAAAAAGCTTTGTCTGTAAATTGGACATTGTACAGAGCCAGGACTCAGTATCTGATAACTAC